AGTGATGGGACACTTGTGCTTTACAAAAGGAAACTGTAGTAAAAGAAATTAAAAAAAAAAAAAAAAGTAAAATTTTTTGTGGGTGTGTTTCACACTTAAATTTTAGTAACAATTATTACATAACATACATTTTCTCAAAAATATTAAAATAGTAATTTAATAAAATACAATTGTTTTAGAACGGAGCAAAAAATGGCTCACATAAGTGATGGGACACTTACTTTTCCATCAAATATTTATCCAAAACTTTTACTTCTTAAAATGTTTTAATATTTTGTTGGATTTCCTTTTTACTTTTAAAATGTGATTTAATCTTCTTGGGATGGATTCGACTAATTTTTTTGTGATTTCTGGAGTGATTTTACCCTATTCTTCTTGAAGCAATGATTTTAATTGTTGTTTTGAAGAAATGGTGGTTTGCGAATTCTTGATTCCAATTCTTGCCAAATATCCTGTATGGGATTTAAGTCTGGAGATTGTGGTGGTGTTTTTATTATTTCAGGACAGTTATACGGCAGCCAGAGTCTAACGTTCAAAGCAGTGTGCTTGGGGTCATCGTCCTGGTAGAATTTAAAATCGTTATGAAGGGTCAATTTTCCTGCTGAAGATTTCAAATTCTGATTTAAAATGTCAGTATACTTGTATTGATCCATTATACTGTCGATAAAAACAAGATTACCAACTCCAGCGGACGACATACACCCCATACCATAACTCCTCCTCCACCATGTTTTACTGTTGGCACGAAGTTCTGTTTGCGAAATTCTTTCCTGGGTTTTCTCTACACCAAGATTCTACCGTCAGAACCAAATATATTAAATTTACTCTCATCAGCAAATATAACTTCATTCGAGTAATCAGCGTTCTTATTATGTTGGATTTTGCAAAAGCCAGTCTGAGTTTTCTATTCTTTTCACTTACGAAGAATTTTTTCCTGGCTGCTCTACAGTGATATCCAGCAGATCGAATTACTCTTCTAATAGTCTCAGGATTAACAATTACTCCATATAATGCTTGTAAATCAGCAGCAACTTTAGGAGCACTCATTCTTGGATTTCTTTTAATATTTTGAACAATAATTCGCTTTATTCCATTGGATAGCTTTGATGGTCGGCCAAGTCTTCTTTTATCTTGAATCATATGATTCCTTTTATATCGTTTAATGATATTGAAAACTGTTGAATGACTCATGTTAACTGTTTCATCAATTTCTCTAATAGACTTTTCACGTTCAATATGCATGTTAATATCTAATTTTCTAATTTCAGGCAAAGTTTCTTTTCGTTTAGCATTCATGGCTGCACAGAGCTAAAAAGCACAAAAATTCCAAAACAAACTGGAGAGAAAGACTGCAGACGATTTTAAAAATTATTGCCAATTGCTTTTGAGTAAAAATAAAAACCCCAAAAAATATTTTTATTGTAGTACGTAGTAGTATCTAATTGTGTCCCATCACTTATGTGAGCCATTTTTTGCTCCGTTCTAAACAATTGTATTTTTATTAAATTATTATTTTAATATATTGATAAAATGTATGTTATGTAATAATTGTTACTAAATTTAAGTATGAAAAACACCCACAAAAAATTTTTACATGTTTTTTGAATTTATTTTATTACAGTTTCCTTTTGTAAAGCACAAGTGTCCCATCACCTTTGTGAGACACTGTATTTCAACAGATTATGGCCCTTTAAATAATGTACGCAGCAAAGACAAAAGAGTAAAATCGCTGAATACTGGTAATTTGACTTAGATTCAAAACCTGGTTTGCCTGAATGCATAGGGGATATCTTGATTTTTCCCAGGTGTAATGTGAATACGAGCTTGTTTGCTTTTAAAGCGTTTTCGACAATGATATCTCTCTTCTTAAGCATTATTGTGTTCTTCTATATAAAATAACCCAATCTAATCTTTTCGGTAGTCGCACACTTTCAATGCAGTTTAAGAAATATGTTGTAGGATAATCTCGAGTTTCATGGATTTATCTTGGGCTACAACTCGGTTAGTACGTATAACTGACAAATAAAAAATCCAGATTTAAAACTAAGTGAGCATAGAGCAGATTACCTCATGCTTCTTGTTTGTAAAAACCTAATTAGTTCCATAAAATACGCATTGAATTAATATTGAATTGAAGTGTTGCAAATGCGGAGTCTTTTGGCTATTCGGAAAAGAATAGCCAAAAGACAGATATATGGTATATGTTACCGGCAAAGTATGCAATAGAATGCCGAAAACTGGCCGGCAGTGTATGAAATGATAAAACATTTTACACATTGCCTAGGCATTTTATATAATGCCAAATGACAAACGCGCAAACTATGAAAGGGTTCTTTCTCGAAAAACCGAAACTACTTACCAGAAGTTAATAAATGGTGTAAAAAGCCAAAATGACTTCTAAGATGGAACCACGGGACTATTGGTTGCTGAGTTGCTATGATGTGATATTTGTAAAAAAACAAAAGTAAACTCATTTGTTGTGTTAAAGAAGGCGTCCACGTACTTCATAAAATTCATGTGGCTGTTGGACATGGAGGCCGTGACAGAATGTTGAAGAAACTTTAAATCAAATACGAAAATGTTACACGGAATGATATGGAACTATACATCCAACTTTGTGAGACCTGTCAGAAAAACCAAAAAGCTATTAAAAAGGACATTATTGCGAAACCTATCATTTTTCTGAAGTTAATTCCCGTTGTCAGGTAGATTTTATTGATTTAAAGTCAGAAGAAGAGTATAAGTTTATTATGATGCACCAAGATCACCTCACTAATTTTTTTAATGTATTTTGAATAAAAGTTTTTTAATGGCAGTCTTTCGTGATTTTTTCAAAATAACATTCGTATTTTTCAAGAATGAATTCTTTTAATTAATAGCTTATCATGATATTTTTTTTCATATTTTGCCTAAAGCGCATCTGTTATTCTATAGCCTAAGCCTTCTGTAGCCTCTAATGCCTAGGTATTATATACAATGACTAGGTAAAGTATATAATAATAGTCATATTTCATACTTTGCCTAGAAAAGGCAGGCATTTTATAGAATGCCGGCATTTCACACATTGCCGGTAACATATATATACAGAAATGTTAAAAGTAATTTCAATTAAAATTATTGAACTTTAAGTATTTTTCCTTAAATCTAAATTATTTTACCAAATTTCTTCAAAATGTTTACTAAATAATGTCTTAATTGAATGTCCTAAATAGTAATTTAATGTAGCACATTTTAACCGCTAATTATTTAATTGTTTGATTTGTAATTACGAAATGTGCATTACAGCAACATTAATAATCCTCTACCATATAATTATATTAGTTCTATTATATTCACCTTAGCGTGATGTTGTTTTCTGCTGTTCAACTAATATCTTAATGAAAGTCAACACCATAGTGCTAGTGGTAATTTTGCAATACATTAACATCAAAATGATACCATGGTTTTATATAAAAAATAAAACATTTTCATCAAATATTTATTCATTACATAAGATTTTAATATTTTATTTAAGTAAACAAAATAGTCATTGGAAAATATGGCAGAGACTTTTCCTACTAAAATATAAAAATATATGTAGATATTTCTATCTCGTTCATATTGAAATCAAAGCTTTCATTGAGTATACACTTAATGTAGCAAAATAATTTGCTTCTTAGATTCCGAAATAGAAATTTCTTCTTAGATTTAAATCAAAGTCTTTTTGATTTAAAAGAATTCTTATTATTTGATTACTTCTTATTATTTGATTATCCTTATTATTTGATGCAATGTGGTGAAGCGAAGTTTTCAAAATTCGATTTAAATTTACTTCATTTGAATTCATTACATTCATTCATTTTCCTCATATAACTTCGTTTGATAAGGGAAATAAGTGTATCGAATTTTACTTTTCGCACCATTGGAATACAGTCGAAAAATTCTTTTTAATAATATTTGCATGGAAATTATAATTTAATTTCTGACATTTTGACAAATTTTGCAATATCTCTCGATTTTAACATTATTTGACGTTTAGGAGTTGAAAATTTCAGCATCTAAAAATGCATTGGATATAAAGTTTTGAAATTTTCACAGATTACAAAATAAACTTTTCACTATCTTTTAAAAGATGAATGTTTAAAAAAGTACTGATTCAGAGAAAGTTATTTTCCTTTAGTTCAAAATTTTCCTATAAATTATTGCTTGTGTTTTAATAATGATCAAAATTTCATCATTGATAAAGAGTAGTTGGGACTAGAAAACAGAAAATAAATTACAGTTAGAAAAAAGGTTTTATACAAAAGCTCTCTTTTTTGAAAGATATGATAACTAATACATTAAAAGGATAAAAGTAATTTATCATATAGTTTTATGAAAGTAATAGCAATAATCAATTTATGATAGTTCTATTTACAAAATTAATCTACAGTTTTATTTAGAGAATGATAAAAGCGTTATCAACTAATTTAATTCTATTGTCAAATGATATTATGCATGTCAAATGGCGAAAATAAATTGAAAAAGCTATTATTTGTTTTAATTATTTCAGCCGCATTGCAGATAAATTCTATAAACATGATTATTTAATCTATTATTCCCATTAAAGTATATGACAAATTATTTTTCTCTTTTTAATGAATTATCATCTCCATTTTAAACAGAAGCTTATTATGTAAAAGCATTTTTTTAATAATATTTGTCTTAGGTTGTTTTTAATATATGTAACAATAGAGTTCTTTACACAAATTACATTATTATTAAATTAAAAGTAACATTTTGAATAATATTATATTTAAGAATAATTCAGATAAAATAAAATTAGATGCATGCTAAAAAGCGCATGTGTCAGTTGCTTTAAGGAAAAGTATAGGTATTCATTGTAACTTAACCGTAATGTGTTTTGAATAAGTGCTATTAAGTAAATGATAAATAATAATAAATATAATTTTTGTAATATTTTGTTATAGAAAAAGTTAAAAAGGAATTTATATTATAAATGAAATATGGTTTTTCAGGATGGAAAACTAAAAGACTCCATCAGTATGGGTGCTCCTGACACTCCTCTGGAGGATAAACAAGTAACTGTTGCTTATGGATCAGATTTGGTTAATATCAACTTTATCAACTTCAGCTGCAATTGTAAAGAAGTCGCTCAGGTGAGATATATATTTATATTAAAGTACCTCTGTTTGTAAAAACAAATCTGGAAGTTTCTATAGGGTAAAACAAGGGAATGCTACAGAAAGGGAATGTTTATTTATTAGATTGCAAAACACACCATACAATAAATATTTTAAGGAAAATTTCTTAGCTGTGAAATCTTATGCAGGTTCTACTGGGCATGTAAACAATTAAATTAATAACCTGCATTGTATTAAAGACCTAAAATATGAAGATATTACATACCAGAATTCCTACAGTAGAATTGCATAATAGCTGCTAAACTAGCTCAGTTTGGCACAGACCTGTTAAAGGTACAGGAAGCTACCTGTGTTAAGTAAATAACCCATTTGGCTATTTTCAGCCCTTTACAATGCAAAGCGCTTTAGTATGAAGCAACAGACAGCAAATATTTAATAAATTCGCGTTCCAGGAACTTTCAACGTTTGATAAAGCAATTAACACACTAATCCATAATGAAATTATGGACTTATTTCACAAAATTGCATTATGTGCTAGTTTAACCTCAATTATATCTACGAAAAAAACACTAGTTCTAAGAATTAATATAATTTACAGATTTTGATGGATGTTTAGGAGAAATTATAAGTGAAATTATAAATTAAATTTCTGGCTGAAAGGTGCACATTTGCAAAGACGAATCTGCCAGCTTATACATGCGTGCAGAAGTATTTAAGGGAAGGGTTAAAATGCACATAAAATTGTTTAATCTTCATTCGCTCGCATTCCTCGGCCTTATTTGTCATAAATTTGTCTCGTGATATTCAGAAGCACTCAGATAGAGGGAGTAATCATCATAGTTTGTAATTGGAATGAAGAGGTAAATCATCGGGAGACTGGAAGTAGCAGTTAACAAATACAGAGCGTATAGTCTTAAATAAAACACCCTGATTTCTCTGCAATTTATGAAAACCGTTTAAGGATACTGATCGTAGAGAGAAAGTTTGGTTGGTCTTGGAGTCACGACGGCCAAAGAACATTTAAGGGAGGTGTAACATGAAGATCAATAGATTCTCAACTCTGTTTCGTGACCTCATAACGCCACAAAATGTCGAATGGCGAGAGTCAGTGTTTCCTTAAGGCTACATGAGAGAGATCTCTTTACGAAACGATCTTCTATTTACGTCATGCGCCCCTCTGCGCACAAAAGAACCCAATAAGCACGGTGCACAGAATATTGACTTTAGACCAAGATACGATGGGAAACCATCCGCTTAAGCCTAATTCAGCCTAACCACTTATTTTCAAATAGGTTTATAAGATTATCTTGTTCTCACGCACCTTTTACAGGAACCCTCTATCGGTTCTTCAAAATATGAGAAAGGTATGAGTGTGGCACCTGAAGTGTGATGCTTCGGACAGGCGTCGTGTTAGACCATCATACAAACCTTCATGTCTTTGAAGAGACTCTGTGGCACTGCTGAGTGGCTTAAAGAAGAAATAAAGTCTTAAGTTCGGTTTTCAGAAGTGCAGTTGATCCCCATTTCATTTTTTATGCGCGATAGCTCTCGTCCCTATGGGTTAGTACAGCTTATAATTTTCAGGAAAGGATATTAACCGAATTAATTTGTCAGCCAGATCTACGGATCTAAGCATTTTAGAAGATGTATAAGAGCGCATAAGTGGGAAACTGCAACAAGCTTCTCTTCTTCCTAAATCCCATGACCTGAAAATAGCGCTGCTACCCAAGTGGGGCCGATTCTCACAAGGACTCATAACTTACCTTATCTCCCAATTTCCTGTATGAAGTCACATGTAGAGAGTTCCATTACTATTAAAGATATTTATAATTCTTATTAACCTAATCTTTCGTTCAATCTTGCAACATTTGCTTTATACCTTCCTACCCGATGACCATTAAGCAAAATTATGCGTACATACGGTGACTATTATATGATTTTCACGTCCTTAGCATGTCGTTGTCTAATGTTGTTGGTCTTTCTGATCAATAGGAGTCAGAGAGATCAAAATTACCGGATTTGAACTTGGAAAACCATTTGTGGCATTTACGAACGTCTAATGCACGTGGATAAACATCGCAAATGTTTTTGGTTGCGACTGTTGCGTTACTACCCTTGTGAAACTCAAAAATCATACAATGCCATATTTGGTGTTCGGCTGAACATTTCATCCTAAATTGAAAAAAAAAGTTTAATATTGAATTATTTAAAAGTTAGCAAGTCAAAATAACCTTAAAATGACTTTGGCATGCCTTCGAGATACACGATGAGTTGACAAATGACAATCAAATATCGGCATGCGCAGAAATGACATTACTTTGTCCCCCTGTTACGCAAAGTATTAGTTCGTAAGAACTCCTGAAACTGTAAGTGCGGTTAATGAATGTTTTTGAAATTTACTTCCTAAAAACATACAAGGAAATTCTCCATTAAACGGATGATTATTTTAATATTAGAAATGCAATCGTTTTAGCTTGAATAAATTTACTTTTCTTGGAAATTTGCCTTCCCTGAGACAATAGATACTGACTGGAGTGCGCAGATGTGGTACTGCGGACATTCCAGTATTAATGATGTACCAACAATCCTAATCCTAGCTGTACGGATCCCAAATGCCTGCTGTTTAAACCTATTAGTACATTTAGCTATTAAATCATTCTCGGTGGATATGATTTCTTGTGAGTAATTGTGGTCAACCTAATTATCATTTATTTCTTTGCAGATTGTGTACTTAACTTGATTCTGATTTGAATTTTTAATGATTTTTAGTGTATGTTTGTTCACATGTCCAAAAACAAAAGACGAATGAAACTTTTATATTTTTCCCTTACCATCTATGCTCTCCATGTGCATATTCTGTAGCACAAAAACTTCAAAGGAAGAAGATAACGTCGTTTGCATCAGAAAATAGAACCTTTTCAATTAAAAATTGTTCAAAATTAAGGACAAATGTTCTAGTTTATTAAAAGTACATTTCAAATGACATGTTGTTTAACTATGCTGATGCAAATTTCAGACGTTAACATTGTTTCCAAACATAGTTGTGTAAAAGGCTATTACAAAGATGCATGTAAGATCATTCTAGACAAATATATTCTAAACATTATTGTAAACAATAATATCATAAAAATTATTTTAATGCAATATTTACATTAAAATTTTATTTAGTGAATATTAACTTTCCATTTTAATTAGCACACTGTGGTATCAGATTTTAACAAATTCTGTTTTAAAATTTCAATCGAAGCAACTATTTTTTTTTAGTTAAGAAAGTCACCGCAATGCTTAAAAATGCATTTTTTATTTACAGAATGGACTAAATTATTCCAGATAAAAGTTACATAATATATGCTTATTGGTATTATGTAACATTTAAGACATGAGCATAGTCTCTAAGGCAGTTGTGCATAAAAGTTGTTATATCTCTGTTACATGCAACTTTATGATGATGCATTTTCTTTACATGATGCAACAATATGAATACTTAAGTTTTATAAACAATCCTCAAGTGCTATTTCCTTCACAAGTTTTGCTAATCATTGCATAGGAATGTTTCGTATGATGCATGTAAATATTATATCCTTATTTAGGAAAGGATTTTCGCACATATTGATGGAAATTATACCTTTCTTTTAGAGAAATTATTTGTTTAACTGTTTAAGCATTCCACGCATAAAGTCATTCACATTACGTCGAAGTATTTCCCAAATATACTTTAAAGTACAAAATATGTCTAACAATCCTCTCAAGAACGTTTTACATAAATTATGAAAGCATAGTAACGAAGATATTTCTTTAAATCTTCTTATTAAGAATATAACTCCGAGTATAATCAAATTTATTTTTAATATTTTCAATAGTTCATTCAATTCCTTTTTTGGTCTCGAATATCAGATCAAAATCGTTTTCTAATTGTATTTTATATTATAATGGTCATTTTTATTGCCATGCTTTATAACACAGATTTCAACGGTGAGTTTTTAAATTTTATATTGTTCGGCGAAGAGTTTTCATTTTATAAAATATGTAAATAAATTATGATAAACATTTCAAGAACTGCATATGAATTAAAATTCAAGAATTAGTTAAATTAAGTGGCGTATGAGTGATTTAACTCAGGATGATCATGCTGATCGTCTTGGAAATTAAATTACCAAGAAGGACTATATAGAATCTTAGAGAATAACGTAAGTCTGTGTGTAAGTCCAAAAACGTATACAGATGTCGACTAAATGATTTAATATATTTACAGATTGTTTGTTATTATGTACTTAAAAAAGGTTGGGTTCTGGAAAATACTAAAAAGAAGAATTATTGGAAGTCAAAATTTAATAAAAATCATATTTTTTAAAGTTAATACACATAAATGTGCTTTCAACATTTTACATATTAAGTGAATCAGTGAAAATTAAATAAATATTTACTGAATCTATGGCCAGGGAAGAAAAATATAGCATGGTGAAATTCGTAGCTTCACAGTTTACAACTGAAGGGTAACGATTATATCTATTTTAGTGTGTTTACGCATCCCCTCACAGTGCTCTTCCTGAAGACTGGGGCGGAGCTTAACAGATAGCAACGATTTCTAATGTGCCTTCTAAACATTGTATGCAAGAACCTTGCCTTCTGTAATGCACACATGCCGGTTTTGGTTAAACCCGTACCTGTGTACAACGCATTGAATAATTAATATAACTGCGTAAAGTGCGTTGATTTTAAAATAGGCTGATTACTCTAACAATATTTTAAACTGGTATTGATTAAATTAAATATCTAATAACTTGACAAGTGCAAATATATATTTATCTTGTATGTATTATTATCGAAATGAAAGTAATTTAAAATAAAGCATTGCATTTGCTTCCTTTTTAGCAGATTTTTATACTATTACCGCAAATACTTAGATTTGATCTGCATCTGTCTGATAGATTCAAATCTTCTATTGTAAATCTAAAAATTTAGGATAAAAGAATTGTGCTTAATTAAAATTATCGTAATAATCTCGTTTATAATAC